TCCCTGCTCCTCGGGGCTCACTCACATGAGTCGGGGAGGGACGACTTTGAACGGGAGCAGGCATGAGTTTCACTGCGGCACCAGAGAGGGCCAGCAGCAGCAGCAGCCCTGCTGGCCCCGCCTGCTGCCGGCTCTCTCGCTCGCTCTCGCGACTCGTGCGTTCTGCGATTACCCGACCCGACCTGACGATGAAAAATTTATTCGATCGTTCCTACTCGGCTGCCGCGCTGCTGCGGGCTGCCGGATGGACTTGCGCACCGCATGAGTGCGTGTGTGTGAGTGAGTGTGTGTAAGAGAGGTAAAAGTCTGTGCGAGTTTAAGGGTGTCAGGTGTGCCCGGCCTGAGTTGAGTTGAGTGGGCGTGCAATCAAGGAAAAACGTGCAATAGCACTACTGACTGGGATTTTGAAGAGCGTTTAACTTTTTTCTATCCCGGAAAGATTTATTATGGACAATTTGCTGCGGAGGAAAAGTTGAGGAAGGAACAGCTTAAAGGAATTGAGTGATGCACGTACTTAAAGCAATGTATAAGACTACCTCATCATCTTTCCAAACATGTTCACTGCTATGAGAAATATTTTGTTTAGTAATATAAACTCTTACTCACTTACTTACTTACTTACTTACTTACTTACTTACTTTTTCAACACATAGGACCGGGACTTGATGCGGCAAGAAATTGATCATTTTATTTAAACAAGGAGTTGGTCTGGTGAATGCAGCATGCGTAAAGGCACACACTCACTTTGTTGGCGCGAGGCTGCGCGCGCGCGCGCGCGCACACACACGGGATGTCTCGGACCAACACTTCCTGCTGAGGTTTATGTCGCCTGGCTGGATAGAGCGGTAAAGGACGGGTCCCGCAGGCGGCCATGGGCGGCCGCAGCCGAGGCGGAGCGGCGAAGAGCGGCCAGGGGATGTTCCGCGGAAGCAGGAAGGATACATCCACCGGGCAGCCATAGGCACTTTCACGAGGGACAAGCCGCTCGGCTGCCAACAACCATGCTTTTGCGCCCTCAAAAGACTACTACCTTGTTATTTAGGCAGCTAACAAATTAATCGCT